CCCAAACCTCGTCATGCTGTTAAACAAGGCCAATCTGAGAACGCAGGAAGTTGACTAGGATTTTCTTCTCATCCGATGCTCGAAATATCGTTACCAGTACAATGCAACAAAAAGAGCTTGTCCTGTTTTTTGGCACGTTTTGTCATTCCACAGCTGAGACTTAGTCACGTCAATATTCAGAACAGGAGGAAAATAAACTGGTGTGGATTTTAACAAGAAACTGATGGGACTAGAGGTTTGTTCACGGAGTTTAACATCTTTAACTTTTTTGTGTTCCCTAATAATCATTATTAAACAACAGGTAAAATTCTAATGAATTGACGGAAACTTGGACTTGATATTGCTGTGACTCAGTGTTCAACCCCCCCCCCCACACACACACACCCACACCCACCCACCCAGTGACATGTGAGGAGAGATACTTCTTCCATCATGTGTGTGTTCAGCACAGATTTTCCAGATGGAAACTTATTGAAGTGAATTACTGTCTGACTGAACGGTGGGCCGTCATCTGCCCGCTCTCCAAGATTGATGTTATTACCGCCGCGTCGATGGGAATCCTGCTGATTCACCATGGACGCTGTGAGACGTGTGTGTGTTGAACGTTCAGAAATCTGCAGCCGATGGAGAAAATGTACAGTGAATGTGAATGAAAGAGACTGGGCCGTTAATTTAGCTGATGTTGGTTTGGCCATGTCTGCAGTGGGACCGCTAACCATAGCTTTGATGCAGTCAGATTTTGATTAGATTTTTGATATTTTAGGTCTTGATCAGTCAGTTCTAGTCTCTAAAACAGGCAAACTACAGCCCGGGGTCCGGATGCGGCCCACTTGGCTTTTTAATCTGGCCCACCAACCTTGTCTAAATCACATTATTAATTTATATTATCATTATACTTCTGCCTTTTCCCTGCAATACTCCCATTCAATGGCATAGAAAAAGCTAAAAGGATTTGAGCATTTTAGCCTTTATGGACAACTTTTATTTTAGGATCCATTGTGACCACGCCTGGTCTAAAGCCTCTGTATCATGAAAGCTAAAAGGATTTGAGCATTTTAGCTTTCATGGACTTTTATGGATTTTAGGACCCATTGTGACCACGCCTGGTCTAAAGGCAGCTTCAAACCCAGTGAAGGTTGGTCTGTTCGGCCGACGAGCAGAGCCACCGGTGCTGCAGTAATTCACTGCTCTCTGACAGTCACAGCAGCATGCAGTTATACTGCCCCCCCCCCTTACCCCACATAACCACGGCCTATTTGCTCACTGAGGGTAAAGAGGGCGGACATACCCAGAACCCAGGACACTCTTCACACACAGCAGTGTACTTTATGGAGGAGCGTTTCACTGATCTGTTTGGAGCTTTGGAACATGGTACAGGTTCTTCCCAACATCTTTTTATTTTTTTTTTTTTTTTTGGCATTTCCTTCTTTCTTTATGGTTTGACACAGTGGATATTCTGCATGTATAATTTAGCACATATTTTTCTATTGACTCCGTCTTCACCGCAATGAGCAACTTGGGGTTTAGTGTCTTTGTAATCAGATCCCAGAGAAGATTCCACAGAAGTCCAACGTCCATGGACTCCAACACACAGTCCAGTCACTTGTTATTCACACGCTGCTATATGGAAAAAAAAAACTTTTGTTCAAATGTTGATTAACCATGATTAATTCCATCATGATTTTTATTCAGAGCTACACTGAATTTAATCTGATTGTAAATTATTATCATCAGCCCTAACAGCAGGGCAGACCACTTGTTTGTTTCCATTTCTCCTTTTTAAAAAAAAAAATAATTTCATAGCAGGAACAACAGCCACTTCAATTACTGTGTACTCAAATCACTGGTTGTGGAACAACTTGAAGAGAACATTGAATACGCTGTAGGTTCGTGGTCGTGGTTGTAAACTTTTAACACAGCCTGTGTGTCAGCTAACAGCTAACAGCTAACACTGTTTGTGGAACGCACAATCCAGGAGCCAATCAGTGTGAGGAACAGAAGAGCAGCCAACAGCCAATAGTATGCTGTGTACCATCTCGTCCAGGTAAACAAAGCTACCTGCGATTGTTCGCAAATGCGATCATCTCAATTTTAAAATGAGAATCCACATTTCTAAAGCCAAAACTTTCATATGTATAATTATTTTATAATGAGATCGGATTGAAAAAACAAAATCTGCCTTTTTTTTTTTTGCTATATTTCGTGACATGGTGAACATTTAGTGAGATCGGATTGAGAAAAAAAATCTGCGATGTACTGAGGAAGAGAAAGGAGAACTGCGATATAGAAGAGGGAAAACTGTAATTATCAGAGATATTACGTTAGGGTAAAAACCAGGACGGGGTTGGCTGCAGGGTGCGGTGGTTTGGAGCAGACTGTGTAAAGACTCAGAGAAGAAGAACCTTCATGGCCCTGAGGAAGATTGGCAACAAGACGCCACAGAGCAGTGGGGCTCCACTCCACTCCACTAATTACATGAGATGTAAAATGTCTCCAATCCACGGAGTGAAGGTGTGAGAATGTGGGATGAGGAGATGCTGAAGAGTCCTGGAGGAGCTGCAGGAAGCCTGGTGGGCGTCGAGAGGAAATCCACTGGACAAATCTGTTCAGTTTGTCTCAATGTGACTCTTTATAAATGGGTTGAATTAGAAAGACGGCAGTTTTTTTATCTTTGTGTTTGAAGAGTGACGTCAGAGTAAAGAATCAACGTCTCAAAAAACTAAAATAGGGAGGATCGCAATCTGGAGATCAATATTTGTCAATGGTCACAATGAACATGTTCAAAATGCACTGGTGGGGAGGAGGTCTCAAAAAACTAAAATAGGGAGGATCACAATTTGGAGATCAATATTTGTCGATGGTCACAATGAACATGTTCAAAGTGCACTTTTTGCAGTGGTGGGGAGGAGTCTGAGTCCAACTCGTTTATATGATATAAAATCAAATTATACTTAAGTTACCCAGAGTCCAAGTCCTGTAAAAAAACTTGGGTCAGGTCAGTTTCAAATGACAAAGAAATATCAAGGTTGGAGTCTGAGTCTTTGGTTCAACGTCGAGTCAAATATCAGTCCTGTATATATTTACTTAAAAAAAAGAACAAAATTGAATTCAGATGCCGCACTAGGGTGACTAGTTTATTTTTTTAAACTCAGTCAAACTTTTGATCCTGCTCATGGTGAACTTTGATGATAAAGTTATCAGTTATCAACAGACTCCTGACTCTGACTCTGACCATCAGCTGAAGAACCACACACTAAAACAACCACAGAAAACCAAGGACCTAAAAACGTTGATGTTGTTTCTTATCCACGCTGTAGGGTTGGATATTATCAACCATCTCTACTGTAATGGACCACAGGCTTCACTCAGGCAAGGAAACCAGACACTCCACTATCAAGTGTCTCTGGACTCCAGGAGGCCCACCCAGCCGGACCTCCACCCCTCACTCCCTCACTCCAGTTTACCAGCTGCCTGTGACGGAGCAGGCAGAAAAACTGTTCCTGGGTCATGTGTGAAGTTTGTGACAGAGCAGAAAAGGAAAGGAAAGAAAAGCAAGAAATGGAAAAGAAAAGAAAAGAAGGACGGTCGATGTGTTTTGTGATCAGTGGCCACCAGGTGGCTGTATAATAATCAACAGAGAATCACTGACAGTGTTTGGTGAAGTTCAACAACTTAGAGTTGACTTTACATCACAACTAAAATCCACATCAAATCTCCTCAAATCAACAAAAACCCCAGGAGTTTTGTTACACTTTCACACAGTCGAAGCGAATTTACCAAACAGGAGCCGTGGAGTTATTTAGTCAAGCAGTGAAGCGTCAGGGAAGCAGATTGAAAAGGTTAGCGTTGAGATTATATTTCAAAGCACGGACATATTTTGACGCCGTCTGCTCCCTCCAACAGTCTGGGCTGAAGCCAAAGGCTGAATTAGCAAAACCCACGGAAAAACAATCAAACGTGTGTTTGATAAAGGCTAACGACAGCTACATGAAGAGCAGGTTTAATGGAGAGAAAAGAAGATTGAACTGTTGAGTGTTTTAGGTTTTTTTGACTCTTTAGATGTTTTTTTTTTTTTTTCGTCATCACTCTGTCATCCTCCACACAAAGGCTAGTGTGTTCAAATGTCAGGATGATTTCATTTCAGGAAGTGCAGGAGGCTGAGACATCATTCAAGTGTTGTAGAGTAGGATTACAGCACACGCACCACGGCTTTAACCACATTACCTGTGAAAGTGTCAAAAGAAGAAGCCTCTCATCTTCCATCACTAAACTTTTTTTGGGTTCAGACCCTGAACACTGCCACCCTGTGCTGACTAGGAAATGGACTCTAGGTGCATTATCGCCATCTACTGGGCTGTAGTGTACGCATCAGTATTACTGGTGTGCCCGAAACAAAAAGGCAACTAAGAATGATGTGATTAAATGTTATTTATTGTATTTAGTTTTTTTTTTGTAATTGTTCAACTACTCAGTCTCATACGTACGTTAAATTACAGGATATTTATATGTACATTTTTGAAAATGAGGGTTTTTAACATGATTTTGTCTTACAGTCCCAGCCCTATCATGTTATGACAACAATTACATTTATACAGGATAATAATAATATTAATAATAATAACAATAATGTGGACTGTAGTGCAGTTCTTATAGTTTAAAGTGACGTCTACAGGTTTTGGTTTGGTTGCTGCAGTTGTGCATCTTCCACCGCATCTTTAGCCACCGGTGATGCAAATGTGAGTCAAATGTGAGTCAAATGTGCCCCGGCAGACACACGGGGAGATTTAGGCGCGGCTGAAGACTTGCCTCAGTGAACACACGCTGGTGAATGCGGACAGAAGGAGCGAACACACGGCTCTCTGCACGGCTCCCCTGACCCTCGGTGAACTGATCTCACCTCACACTTCATGCTCGTTAAATTACCGTCTTTTTGTTCAATTAGAGGCTGAAACAGAGGCAGAGACGAAGGAGGAGAAAAAGAAAGAAGCGAAGCGACTTACTTCGAGAAAATCTCTCCCGCCTGGGTTTCAGGTTGATGTGTAGACGCGTTGCAGTTTGGGTTTTGTTTTTTTTCCTCCTTCTTTTTGTTCTTGTTCTTCGGTATTCTCCTGTGCTGACCGATGGTGGACCGGCTGACGGCCGCGGACCGACCGAGCAGACGAGAGAGCGAGCAGCGGCTGAATGACTGAGCCAGGCAGACAGGGTTCTCTTCAGCACCACAAGCACTGAACAGCTCCCCCTGACGTCACTGCCTAGATACCACCAGGCCACGCCCTCTGTCCTAAAGACCGCCTCCTGGGAGAGACAGAGAGGGAGAATGTGGGGTGGGGGGTTGGGGGGGGAGAAATGTTTTTAAAAAACTGTATGATTATTCCTTACTCAGCATCCAAAGTTTCAGTTCTACTAATCTTCACCTTATTCATAAATCTTCTGAGAAAGAGCAGAGTGTTGCAAATACAAGAGGGTGAATTCATGAGGTTATTTAATCTGAACTTTTCCATTTGGACTGAATGTAAAACCTGTTAAAACAAGTGAAGCTTTGCAGCATGGTTGGTGTAGCTTCATGTAGCTTCATGTAGCTTCATGCAGCTTCATGTAGCTTCATGTAGCTTCATGGATCATCCTGCTTTATAAAGCTGTTTGGTTTCAGATACAGGATGAGACAGAAGTAGGTATATGGTATTATAGTTTCCTTTTATGAACTGCCAAATTCCCCAAAAAAAATTTAAAAAAAATCACATTGTGAGTCATGCTATTCTTCTGTCAGAATTATTAACAATAATGTAATAATTAAATATATTTGAGGATCTTTAGGCGACCACAGCAGAAGAACATAGAACAACAGGACGTTTGAAGAAAAGTCTGTGCCAACAAACCAACGTGAGCTCCTGGTTCTGCTGCGTCTCCTCGGCCTGAAGGCAAACATGTGCAAAACAAGGTTTTGAATTATAACCAATAAGTCTGGGACTACAGTAAGTCATTCAGACACGTTTGGAGTGTAACTCCACCACAGCCACACACAGCACAGATGGGGTGTGTGTGTGTGTGTGTGTGTGTGAAAACATCTGTGGCACAGTAGCAAATTGTGGAGAAAAGAACAAGTTCCACAGTATAACTGTCCACCCAGTGTATGAATTAACTGACACACAGACTCGCACCCTCACCCTCACCCACGCTCCCCTTTCCCTCACCCTGTCATTTCTAGCCGGGCTGGTGGAGCGTTTCCAGATTTTGCTGAAACAGATCTTTTTTTCAAGGTATTTATATCTTCAAGCTCCGAGACGCCTTGTCATTAGACGGCCTCATATAGCAACAGGGCTGGTCCCACCCTGAGCTGCTCCGCTGCTCCCATACTGCTTTCCCCGAAACATGTTCCCCTCTCAGTGAGGCCAACACCTCAGTGCACCGTCACACCGACGCTGAGGAGCCTCTGACCCTGGGAAGGTGATGAGGAAAAAGTCATGAGGAAAAGTTCAACTCTCTATAAACTAGCTGTTCTTTATAAACTAAACTACAGACAACAGTCTGTGTTAGTGTCAGTGAACCACCGAGGCTGCTGTTGACAAGAAAAAACAACCCAAAACAACAGGATGTGGATGATTGAAATAACAATGAGAAGTAAAAAAGAAGAGACAAAGAAGAGAAAGAGAAAGAAGAAGAAGCAAAATGAAGAGCAAGAAATAAAAAAGGTGAACAAAGGATGAAGGAAGTAGAAGTAAAAGTAAATGACGAAGAAGAAAAATAAAAATAAAAACATAACAGAAAGAAGAATTCCAGACCAACAACTGATTAGTTTTACTTTCACTAAAACATGTTTTATATTTCATATTTAAAAACCCATACAATCAAACAGTCTCAGTACTGACCCTGGTCCAAACACTGCCCGTTTTGCTGTAAGAACATAAAAAAAAACTCTGTACAAAAATGACGAGGAATCAAACACACCAACTGTGTTTCCTCTTGCTGTAAGGCAAGCCTGCTGACCACATACTCCAGTGGACGTCTCTGTGTAGGCTATGACTGGAGGTTAGTGTAGCCTGTAAAGACGTGGTCTACCGACTGTACACGGACTGTGTTTGTGAGCTGACGTCGCAGGGACTTGAATGACACGCTGGTCAAATGGAAAATTTAATCATCACTGTAACTGACAAGGATTTGATGCCTTTGGTAACATGTAAAAAACTTTTACTGGGTTGGTTCTGAGCTGACATGTGGTGGTGCAGTGGCCGGCTCGTGGCCCAGCACTGGCAGCACGTAGCGGACCTCCCAAGTGCCTTCAGCTCACGCTATTTGTGGCTTAAATGAGGGCTGGTTACAGTAGAGTGGAGGAAGGAGCTGGAGGTAAACTTAGTGTTTTAATTACGCTCCTTCTCAGTCAAATTAGACGGAGCCACAGCTGCCAACCTCCTGCCACAGAGCTGGACGTCTGGGCTGGTTCTGTCCAGATTACTGCTGACACCGACAAGCCTGAGAAAAACCTCCAAAAATGGATTCTTTTTTTACTCACTTTGCAGGGATTTTTTTTTTTTTTTTACAGAATATTTACTGAGGTTAAAATGATTTGGTCAAAACAAAACTGTTGCTGTAGAAGAACTTGTTTGGTTAAAAAAAATGTACATGGAATATTTTAACCCTCAAAGTTTCAGCGGTAGATGAGGAGCAGGGAAACTCCTACTGTGTCGACAAAATAACTGATAAATCCTCAAGGCCGTACGGAGCAGAATGTCACTTCACTGTGAGAAAAAAAAACTCTGTGAGAACAATCTCACTGCCATTCCAGCCAGAGTTCACCAGTTTCACAGTGACAACATGTAACGCAGAGAATGGAAAAAAGGCTCAACACTTCACAAACATACAAAATACAAACCGGTAGATGAGGAAAGGAAACAGCACTCAGAGGAGAACCGGACCAGGCCTGGAGGTGAAGACCGGGCCTCCAACCAGCAGCAGGTCGTCAGTGAGATGAGCTGCAGGTGTTTGAAACCAGACAACGAGACAGTGCTGCCAAGGCTGCCAGAGAAGATTCAAGCACGCCCACAAATACGCCCACAGGTGCAGACAGAAGGGAGGACACACTCACCACTCACTGCAGGTGCAGACAGAAGGGAGGACACACTCCTGGATCACCACAGACCAGGCCTCTGAAGTAACAGACAGAGAACAGGAGAGAGGTGAAGAAAAGGCTGCAGCCTGATGATGATGTGCTGACATTAGAGATGTCTGTTAACGTCGGATATCAGCACAATTATGTCATATCTGTAAGAATCGTCGGCAGTTTTCAGTTAATATAATGAAAGTTACGATAATGAAAACCCAATAATGCAACAATGATGTGTGCCCTAAAAATAGTTTTGGGGATGAACGGCTGTATATTAAAGTGAAAGTCACTAGATGGCGGCATTGAAGCTCATTTAATTAACCTCATACTCAGGATCAGACATGAGGTGCTTGGACAATATCGGCATATTGTATCTCGGTTAAAGGTTATTCCCTTCCCTACATCCCTAGCAGACATGCTAACTAATATAGCAACAAGGAAGCATTCATGAAACTGATACGAGCACTTCTCTAATCCTATTAACAGCCCACAGTCCTGCTGTGCTGTACAGTTCTGGTCTCTGCGTCTGTTGTGGAGACAGACTCACTCTGACTGCAGCACTGGAGTCTAATGTGTTCTCGTTATCAAAGTACAGGGTTTTACAGTTTTCCTGTGACAGTGTCTGTTCTGTCAGTGAGCAGGAAGAGCCGCCGCTCGGATGGAAACTGGAGTGGAACGATGACTGAGGGGCGTTCTTTTTATATTTATTTATTTTCAAGGATAAATGCATCTGAAATATGTACATGTTGTATTGCGACATATGCATCTGAAATATGTACATGTTGTACTGCGACATACAGTACACACTACAGTACACACTCCAGTACACACTCCAGTACACACTCCATGCCACCTAATGGACTGGAGTGTGTACTGTATGGGAAACACACAAATGCCCCGGGTGCATTTAAAGGTTAAATTACAGATTGAAATAACATGTTTTTTTGAAACTTTTTTTTTTTTGGGGGGGATTTTCAAGGACTGACAAATAATAAAGTATTACATAAAGTATTTATTATCTATTATTTGATATTGAATGACCAGTTGGAGTTGAGGAATACATTTCTGTCTTTATGTCTGACTTGAATATATTTCGTCACTTCTTTGGTCACAACTTAATCAAAGTTATTTATTCCTCTGAGGAATACTCAAATAACTGGGAAAATATTATAAATGTAAACATGAATATATTTCTGTCCATATTTGTGTATACATAAAGTAATACCTTGAGATACGATCATAGCAGGTGTGAAAACAACTTAACTGATGGTCAGTTTTTTGCTGTAATTCTTCTCGTTGATGTTGACCATCGTCGCAGCGCCCCTGGTTCTCCAGGAGGGAACAACATGGCAGCAGTGTGTGATTAGAGAACATGAACTCAGTCTGCCCACAGACAGCAGGAGCAGCAGGGGAGCAGCCGGGGAGCCGCCGGGGGCCAGGAGAGGGCG